AGCCTTGACAAAAAAGAAGAAAAGAAAAAAGCTTGATTAGTCAGTCAGAACACCCTGAATCAAACATTCACACAGATAACCGGATATATGCTCCTGTCTTACATCCTCGCCGCAGCATTTTGAACTCAGCGGCGCCACAGCGATGTCTCATGTGGAACAGAAGCTTCTTACGAGGGATCAGTCTGACTGACCCCAATACAAAATGGCTTCAATTTTTTTCCCCCCCAACGTTTGAAAAAGAAAAGCTCTTCTACAGATGACAACACAGAGGATTAAGGAAACAGCGAGCGACATTCTTGAGCAGTTTGACCACTAAAGGCACAAAAGCAATGAATATGTAACTGTGTGTAAAACTTAATGTAAGAGTCTCACTCAGCACAGTGATCCAGGGGTACTTGCATCCTGGGGGGGTATTATGGTCATTTGCGAGCGGGTTTGTGGAAAAATTGTCAAGTAGCCGAACTAATTTGAAAAAATAAGAAAAAAAAAGAAAAGAAGTGAAATCCACATATTAAGTCAAGTTTTACACCAGAACAACACGTGTTGAAAGAGCAGGAAAACTAATTAGAAGTTTTAAGCAGTTAGACAAAACTAAGTGATAAAATAGTTAATTAAAAGTAATGAATAAACAGCAAGTGAAACAGTCAATTAGAAGGTTGAATACCTCAGAATAAATGATACATGGTTTAAGCAGCTAAATGAATAAACAGGTGAAATAAAGGTAATTTATAGAAGGTTTAATAGACTAACTAAAATGAACAGACACATGCTTTAAATAGCTGATTGATTATCAGCTGAAGTAAGAGATAAATGGCAAAATAGCTAAACGTAACAGATGATAACAACAAAGCAACTAAAGTAATGGATGAAATGAAACGTATTTGGGAGACGACTGGTGGTGTCGACGGAGGCGTACTCGAGTTCATCTGACAGGTGAGGAAAAAAAGGTTAGGAAAACCACCGACGCAGCGTATATAAGCGTGCGGCTGAGGTCAGAGGTCAATATTGCTGTCAATGACCGCAAGTTCTCAGATGGGATTAGGAAGTGTCGCCTGTGCAAAGCAGGCTGTATGTGATCCGCCGGGCATTGCTCTCTGAACGCAGTCTAGAACTGTCAACACCAATACCGGCTCACCGCCATCTGACCTCATATTCAGCAGAAGACCAGACGGTCTGAGCTCTCTGTGCCCCTATTCATACGAGGCAGACATGTTGTGACACGACAAGATGCATGCGGTTCACGCACAAGACTATATACATTAACACTCACCCCCTCGAAAAGATCGAAAAAAAGGCGGCTGCTCCCGTCTTCAGAGAGGCTCCAATGTTGACAAGCTTTCATGTTAGAAAGAAGCATCTAAACATCCATTAAAACCTCTTGACGCACTCCTACAGCGTACTCCACTTCTCTGCTGTGCCATACAGCGGCACACCTGTCACGCTTGGACGATGTTAGTTTGTCGTTTTCCTTCTCAAACCTCCGACAGATAGAGGTGTTATCTCTATTAAAACCATTTCCGCTACTGTAATCACAAAAACGACACCACACCGTGAACGGGAGTCATTATTCGGCCACGCGAGGCTGCTGGGAATTCAGCTTATATTTCAGGAAGGAAAAGTAAAGCCTGGTAAAGAGTCGACTGGGAGCAGAGTGAATATTAATGTGTTTATGGCCTCTTCTCTAATCTTTTAGAAAAACGCTTCAAACTGTTTGTGCTTATGGTCACGTTTTGCTATTTTTGGCGAGATGACCCCAGACGTTTTTCTTCTTAAATATAAGAAGGAATTTAAATGTGAGTCCGCAGTGACACCAGAGACTGTGGTTTAGTCCCGTCTGGACTCTTTTTTTATATTAAAAGAGAAAGGTGTGCTCACATTCCCAGAATAGTCACTTGTGGTTTTTGTTGGAGCTTTTCGTGGGGTTGGAAGAAAACCTCTATACATCCCATAGATCATATGTTCTGTATGCCAGCTCTGTATATGGTGCTTCTCAAAGCAGTAAGACATAAAAAGAGTATGGTTGAACCTGAACACACACACACACACACACAGGAATTCATAAGGCTCATGAAAGAACAGAGTCGTCTATTGAAATCATACTTCGAAGATAAGTTTACATAAGTTTGACAAGCTAAAAAACACACGTGCTGCTCGTTTCCCCCTTTAACATAAAGTCATATTCATCATATTGCTGCTCCAGTTCTACTTTCCTACACAGAGTCTTCATGTAAATCTAATTAGCGGCCTAAGTATTAGCCCCTTGTACGCAGACGGAGGAAGGGTCTGCTCCAACACTGACATATTGACCTACAATCCAGAGATGTCAACACTGCGCTGTTCGGTTCAGGCCAGTTCACCGAGGAGCAGTTTGCTAATAATCCGCCGGCGCACTTTAAAGAGGCCACGGATTTACCGGCTCAGGTGAGTTAACGGTACTTACAGGAACATTTCTGGGAGGTTCCCTTCATGCACAACTCACTCCACTGGTGGTGACTTAGAAAATAACAGATATGAGAGAGCTGATTTGATTTCATTTGATTTCCCTGGTGCACTCGCAACACACACACACACACACACACACACACACACACACACACACACACACACACACACACACACACACACACACACACACACACACATCAGTTACTCGCTGTGGTGCCTGTAAGTCCAGTGTTTACATGACGTAGAGCAGAACTGCAGGCTGTGTTGTTAAAGAGGCCGGCTCCTTCCTATGTCCAGCCTACATACTGTTAAAGAGGCTTAGCCATTGTCCTGTCCTCCTTTAGGCCCGAGTGTCCACGCTGCCCTGCTCTTAAAAACCGCCCTCAAAACCTCATCAATGTACAGGATGTGATCGACCCCGATTCCAGACCCATATGTGACATAATAAATTCACTTTTAGTATTTTAAAAGGCTAGAATCAGTCAAACTACCTCAGTTTAATCATTAATCTATAAAAAAACAGTCCTCACTTACTGGACCTCTACTTCTGTTTCCAGTTGAATTATTAACTCAGTAATGTTTGACCTTAAAAGCTACAGACTGGAAACTGAAAATGTAATAACTACGATTATTGATTATGGTCATTAAAGATTTAGTTGTAATTGACATTAAGTTTATTTTGAGCCACTGTGACCTGTTGGAAAGTGTTTCTGGGAGGTTGGATGGATTCCTGTTGAAACTCACTCATTCATGATCCCTTCATCTTTCATCCAGCATCACCCAATATTTAAACTGGTCCAATGTGCTTTCAGTTTTTAGCAAGCTAACGCGCTAAACTAAGATGGTAAGCATGTTAAACACTATAACATTAGCATGTTAAACACTATAACATTAGCATGTTATCATGCCGGCGTTAACATTAAGCTGACAACACTGTTGTGTCTAAATACAGCCTCACAGACCGACTGTTGCATGACTGTAAACCTGCGTGACGTCGGCTTTGTTTCCCTTTAAATAAGATCAAATTAAAAGTTTATCAGGTAAGGAATTCAAGAAGGAAAACAAGAAATAAATTAATGAAGAAAAATTAAAAACCAAAGAGTGAAACAAAGGACTAACACCATCTATAATGTAAATTATAACCGGGTCTTTTGTGTGGAGTTTGCACGTTTTCCTCGTGTATTAAAATCTGTAAAAGAGTCGTGGAAATCTGAAAAGACAAAATGACGCAACCCCTCATCGGTGCTCTGTGGTTGGGTCACGGCCTCTTCTCAGTTTCTGTCGCACTTCCAAGCAGGCTAATCCTGGATCCTCCATTACCGTTCAACCTTTTCCACCCGTGAAGCCAAACTTTATGTCATCGTTTTTGCACCAGTGAAAATAAAGAATTTCAATCTTTCATTTCCCTCATGTGGGATCTGACACTTCTCCTCACTCCACAAACTGCAGGACCAGTCGCCCACTTCTAGATATGAGCCTGGTGTTTATCGGTTTAATTACTACACCAGTGCCCCCCCCCCACCCCCCCGCCCCACCCCCCCCACCCCCCCCCCCCCCACACACACACACTGGCTGCAGCTCTGTCACAGCGACGGTGCCAAACACTCGCTGTGAAGCTCCTGACAAAACTACAAATGGGCATGTAATTACCTCTAATTTAGAAGAAATACTCTAAAGCTCAGAGCTGAAAATGAAGGCGAGGATGCGATGTTTGAGAATGTCGTCATTTTTCGGGCTGCAGACGCAACACAATCCAATTATATCCAATCATAAAAAACAAAGACAGTTCTCTTCATCCTTTATGGCGTTTGACACGTCGTGTGGTTGATTGCACATGAGGGAGTTTACTTACACTTTGGTGCACAGCAGTAACATCACATGAACGTTTAACGACAGAGAACGAGTTTGGCTTTGAGGCCTAGAGACAGAACTCGATTAAAATCTGTGTTTTTAAAAACCTAAGTGCTGTAGAAGTATCGTGTCTGACTCACCATCCAAACATGCAACTACCATTACAGAAAGAAGAAGCTTCTATCATCGAGGTTGTTTCTGTTTTTATCTCATTGTTACCTTCGTCCTTTTCTCGTTTCTAAGTGGATGTTTTGTGTCATTGAAGCAACCACAAGGTCAGTGGGACCGTTGTTTACCTGTGGCCACACAGTATCAAGAGTGAACAACAACACACATGTGAGAACAGCATCTCACATGGACCTGAAAACACGAGCGGCAGGTGGTCTGCTCACGGCACAGCTATAGATGCGGGCACGCCGAGGTTTAGAGGGATAAGCCTGACAAAATCCTTCCAGATTGATCCTTGACACCGTCTACACTGCCTCCTTAACATGACAGGTAAGGGAGGGCAGCGGCTGGAAACAAGGACACCTGGAGTCAGGCTGGGGAGGGGAGGGGAGGGGAGGGGAGGGGATGCTGGCTTGAGAGGGGGAAAAGTTTGGCTGACCTTTTCCCGGTGACCATGTGACGGGAAAGAGGAGGTTGTGGGGATTACAGAGGAAGATATAAAAGCGAAGAGCAGACGGCACATCTTCACAAACTCAAGGAGAAGAAAGAAGCAGCTCTGAGCTGAGATCGGCAGCGGCCTCTTGGGATATCTGTCAGTGCAGGTGAGAACAAACTCTACTGCTGCTTCAACCTTAACGACTTGATTTAACTAATCAATTAACTAATAGAATTTCTACAATGTTTCCCACGGTACTGGGTCATTGGTTTATAGGTCAAATAAGTAGCACTGGACTAGTGGATGATTGACAGGACAAAAAGGGAAGAATTCAGATGAGGATGACTTTCATTCAGCATTTGTGTGGCGCTAACTACAGTATGACTGAGGGACAAGAGCACGAGGTTTCTACACACCCTTGACTTGTGAAAAGAAAGTAGTGAAGAAAAAGAGGAGACTAACTAAAGACTGTTTAATGTTCTACTTATTCTGCGCTTGCAAAGTATTTTGATGTGACGATTTAAAAAGCTAAAAGAGGATTAATAAGATGTTTAAATAAGCAAAAACAGTCTTTTTAAAAGACATGAACAAGGGACCTAAAGAGGAGAACAGGTGTGTGTCTTTTCTAATGCCCACTGTAAAGAGGATTGACTTCAGGGGGCAACAATCACAGCAACAGATGGCTAATAAGACGCAGGATTGGATTCTCATGCGGCACAGATCTCTAAACACCAGAGCAGATAGACGGTCAGCTCAGGAGAGTCTCTGTAAACTCCATCCACAGGCGATGTAGATCTGCCGGTGCCGTTTCCACCTCCGTTAAACCACCTTAACAGGATTACGGGTGTCAGCAGTCAGAGGAAGGCGGGGTGGGAAGCAGAGCTTGGACAGGATACTGTTTGAGACGAGGACAGGACAGACAGGACTTACTGGTTGATGCAGCCTTTTTGTTTTAGAAAGAGTCCTGAGTCAAACTTAGAAAATAATAGAAACAAAAACACAGTTAAATTAAAGGATAATGAAAGAATCCACAGATGGTGTCACCGCAGGAGTTTATAATTTATTAATCAGCGTCTAAAAGTTTGAGGAGCTGATGTTAAAGTTTGAGGTGAAGAATGGGGGGAGTGAGGGGGGAGGGGTTGCTCTCTCTCTCCCCTCTGTTTAAGAAGGGCAATTAGTCCGCTGCGGATGGGGGTGGGATTAGAGCTAATCTGGCTGTTTAACCTAATCTGCATAATCTCCAGTGATGGGGAACTGAGAGCGGGATGGAAGCAGGATTAGCAGAGGGCAGCAGGGAGAAGGGCAGAGGACAAAAGAGCGGGCGGCAGGGGAAGTCTCTCTGAGGAGACGCTTGTGCCGTGACACGTGTTTCAAAAAAGAAAAATGTCCTCTGTGTTTCAGAGACCCTCATCAGAAATGAACGCCAGCCCCCCTGCAGGAAGCGCCCTGGCCCCCGGTGGAGCCACTGGCCCCACTACACCCAAGAAGGGACCACCCAAGTTCAAGCAGAGGCAGACTCGTACATTCAAGAGCAAAGCCCCCAAGCCAGGCCAGAAGGGGTAAAAAAAAAAAAACCTTTTTCATATGTCACTCATGTTGATGTTTGTTGACGCACATGGAGTCAGATCTGTTTCTTACGCTTGGACGTCGGTCACTAACGTCTCTCTCTCTCTCTCTCTTTCTTTCTCCTCTTCTGCAGCTTTGGTGACGATATCCCTGGCATGGAGGGACTTGGCACGGACATCACAGTGGTGTGCCCATGGGAAGCCTTCGGCGACATGGAGCTCAGCGACTTGGCCAAATACGGGATCATTTAAACCTGCTGCCTTCCTTTCCTGCCTGCACCTCTCCTCCGTCTAATCCTCTCTGCCTCCCTGCCTTCTCTCCATCTCGGCTCGGCACGTCAAGATAAAGGCTGCCGGCAACCCCCCCCCCCCCCAACTAATGTCCTCTCGTCTATCTACCTCATGCTTCCCTCCGCTGAGTGGACGGAGAGCATAATGATTTTCTTATTTTTATATTATTATTATGATATGATACTGTTTACAGTATATATACTTGAAATGAGAAGACGAGAAAAACAACTCCTCTTTCCTTATTCCCTTCCCCTCCATCCTTCTACAACAGTTTTCTCCTCCTCACTTCTCCTCCCCTCCTCATTTCAGTCTGCCCTCTCCCCCTCTCCCCCTCTCCCCCTCTGCCACTCCTAACCCACGGCAACGGACAAGCAAAACACTAGTTAATACTAGCTTGTATTTGCTTCTAGCTGTCTATATAAATGTAAATATTTTGTTCTCAGCGTTGAACCTTTTTAACCTTTTTATCTTACCTTTTGTACTTCCTTCCTCTTTTATTTTGCATTGTATTTCTTACTCCTTGTGCACAAGGTTACTGTGAACAACAAGGGATGCAAGAAGAGAGTGCAATATGCTGTAATGGTGAAAAATACAATGCACTTTCACATGATCATGGAGGAGGAACTCCCTTTAATCCCACTCTCCATCTCTCTGTCTCTCCTTGCTGCTATCTGAACCCACGTCCCTCCTTAGAGCAAATAAAGGCATATACTGTATGTTTTGTGTTGCAAGCGCAATAACACAGAAAATGTACTGTAACCTGGCATGTCCTGATAGCCCTAGTAAAATGTGTTCATTTTCAGTAATCATGTTGTCCTGCTTTTTTCTGAAAATATAAATAAATCACAAGTAAATCGCTAAATAAAGAGAATGAATGAATTATTTACTGGATGAGAAACAGTCTTCTAATGCAAACTGATCACATCTCCTTCTACGCCTTAACTACAGTGCCATCTGAGTGCATCTAATAATAATTATGCTCATTTTTAAGGATTCCTGAAATCATCACACGCACTCCCACAAGGTTGTTTGTTGGAAACGGGAAAAGAAACCGTGGTGCTCGCTTCTGCAAATGTCATGCAACAAGAAACTGTGTGAGAGATCTACCTCACCAAACGCCAAACTGCAGCCACATTAAAGTGAACACCTGAATACATTCAAACACGTTCCTCTGGTGAAAATAAATATTCTATAATATAAATATTCTTTAATATTATACAGGATATTAACAGGAGTTTAGGAGCTTTCAGTGTGAAGCCCGGAGACAGGGACAAGCAACAACCTCAGACCGATGACACGGCGCTGCAGCACATCTCTAATGTAGGCAGGTGCCTGACCACGCAGAGCACCGTAAGTGATTACAAGAATCTTTAATTGAGCTCTGAATTTGATGAGGAGCCGCTGAAGAGCAATCGAGATCGGTGTCGCGCGTGACCTTTCTGATGAGCGAGTCAAAAGCTTGGCAGCAGCGTTCAGCAGGAGTGTTTTTGGTAAAGCAGCAGAGGTGAGGGAGTCACAACGGGGCGAGACACAGTGAAATCTGAGACACTCTGCAATGTCTCTCAGCTACACAAAACAGGAACTAATCAAACACGTGGATCGAGTGTCAGTGCCTGCTCTATAGCCCCAGATAGATTTGGGTCTAACCTCTGAGGGCCGTGAATGTTTGCACAAATTTCCGGCTAAAAAGGCCCCAAAACAAGAGAAGACGGGGGGGGGTTGTTCCTCTGTGGCTCACCTGGTAGAGTGCGCACCATGTGGGTTGAATCCTTACTGCAGCTGCCACAGGTTCAAATCCCACCTGTAAAACTCCTTAGACCTTAACCCACAAACATTCACCACACAATCACTTGCACACGGTCTCTGCCACCGTCCTTCAACACTGGTGACACAACCCCAGACACTCGGGTTGCCGTGGTTTCTCTTCAAAATAATGATCCTCCACCAGCCAGCATGAATGATTCCTGCCCTGCGTGAATCCCTCTGGAATTAAATGACACATCGGGGAGACTTTTAGTTTTTAGTGCCTTTGAAATATTCACTAACTTAAGTTGTTGTAGTGCAACACAGGAGCTTTATAATGGAAAAGATAAAGCTCTGTCCCTCTGGGTTTCACACACTGAGAGTTGTAGAGAGACTTGAGCTTGAACTGAACACACCCTACACACTCTGTACTTGTAGGGGCATGAGCCGAAGTAGTTACGTATGGGCTTGTAAAAGACAACAGTTAGAAATCACTCACTATTCTTGACGCAACTCCCCCTGCGGCTTAACTCGCTGATTTCAATGTGTTGTTGCTGTGATTTGCCAGTAACTACGGCGACGGCCGGTCCTGTTCTGTATCCCGATGAGAGTGGGATGAGTCAGTTGGACACAGCTTAAACCCCCCCCCACCCCTTATAACAACCTGCTCCTCACCCCTTCGTAGAGTTTGTTTCACATGACAAAACATCTCAAATTTAAATTTAATGATGGGATGAAATGAGATGCAAGTGTTTTGTTTTTTTTATATATAGGAAATGGGATTCATGAATAGGAAAGAAGTGAACTCTCCCTCCCTGTGTGTGCTCGTGTGGATCATCACCTCCAGGTGTGTGAGCCCCACCTATCGAGGGAGGGACGCCGAGAGAAAGACAAGCAGGAGGGGTCTAAAAAGGAAAGTATGAGTACGTATAGGGTGCAGGTTTTCTCTGCTCTTACCCAACCTGTTGATGCGAGGAGGTGCAAACGATCCTCTCTCCCGGTGACTTCGGACCTGAGCGGCTCCACTGCTTCCCTCTCCTCCTCATCTCCTGCTCTTTCCTGTTACCTCAAGGCGGCCACAGATATGGGACATCATCAGGGAAGAAGGTGCGCGGCCACACAATAAGCCGCCCGCTGCTGCACAAAGCAGAGACATTATTGGAACATTTTTAGCCACATTTTCAAATCAAGACTTTTGCTGTAGGGTTAAGAAGAGACTCACATCCCAAAGGATTAAAGGTAAGTGGGTGTTTATTTTTAATTTATAGAGGTTTGTTCAGGTTGTTTGGGAGAAGGCCTCTCATTGTGAGGTGTAACTTTAATGGTTTAAGTCATAGTAACAAAACATGAATAGATATTTCCCCCCTAAATGCCCCTTTATCTTATCAGCCTGTAGTTTCATAACAGCCATTATAGTTATCCAACAATCATGTTCGGAGCCTCATATTCAAATCAGCTGATCAAAACCTCCATGTTGTTACATTAAGATAGAAATAATCTGCTAAAATTGGGTGTGGCCATTGTTTCACAAATCTTTCTCCCACTCTGTGATCTCCTGAACGACGAAACAAACGAAGGCCGGCGTTGGGGCAAAGTTTGGTTGCCCCGGCCCCGGCCCCGGCCCCGGCCCCGGCCCCGGCCCCGGCCCCGTATTTAACGCGTGATAAACCTGCAAAAGGTCATCTTTGAATCTGCGAGGCCGAAACAAAGGCTCTGTCACAGGCTGCAGGAAGTGACAGTCAGCTATCAGGAGTGAATATCTTTGACTGTGTCTCTCACCTGCAATCTGTGCTGTGTATAAACCACAATCCCCATGTGTGCAGCTATCTGTGTCTACAACAGAGCAGTCACCTTTCATGTCTGCCGTTCTGTCCCGGCCTCAGCTCCACGTTTGCAGTTGTTTCTTCCTCCGCTCGCAAGCCTTGGCTCACACGCTCCTCTGCCTTGTTCTGGCATGTTTATAAACTCCCTCCTCCTGTTCTCCTCACTCTCGCTGTCAAACCTCGCTCACCTTGTTTTCTTTGTTTTCTGACCTCCGCGTTATCCCGTCTCCCGTTTCATCTGTACGGCAGTCAACACAATGTTTGTGTGTTTAGCAAAACTTGCACTTGAATATCTTTGTGCTGACGTGCTGTTTGTTTCAGGAGGAAAGAGCTGCCGACTCAAAGGGGACGGTTCAAAGGACAGACTGCATCCCCACGTGGGTTTCTGAAAAACGAATATGGCCTTTTCATCCGGAAAGCACAAATCCCTCTCCCCCCTCCTCCCCCTCCTCCTCCTCCTCTGTGTCCCTCTCACCTGTCTGTGTCAGTCAACCAGCATCAGCTCAACCATTCCCACCGTCAACACTTCAACCACTTCCTCTCCCCCTTCAGCCGGTACTTCCCTGATGAGCGTGCCAGGCTGCGGCAAAGGACTGAACCCCATCTACAGGTATCTGTGCGACCGCCGGGCAGCGTGGGGGATTGTACTGGAGACCTTGGCTTCTTCAGGCTTCCTGTTCAGCATGGTTCTCCTCCTAGGCCTGCTGTTCTGGTCCCTCTGGATCTGCGTCTCATCCAAGCACCAGCGCAGCAATATCGGAGGCACAGTGGCCTGCATGTCCATGTTCTTGTTGGCCACGGCGGGGATCTTCGCCATCACCTTCTCCTTCATCATCCGCCTCACCCCTCAGACCTGCCCCACAAGGATCTTCCTCTTCAGCGTGCTCTTCTCCCTGGCCTTCTCCTGCCTGCTGGCTCGCGCTCTCGCCCTGCTGGGCTTCGCGGCTACCCGGGGCTGGGGAGAGCCCGCCGTGGCCCTGGGGCTCTTCACCGTGCAGGTTATCATCTCCACACAGTGGCTGATCCTCGTGTTGGTGCGGGAGGAGAAGCCCTGCGAGTACAGCCAGGAGGAATTCGTCATGCTGCAGATCTACGTGCTGTGCCTCCTGGCCATCAGCATAATCCTCAGCCTGCACTTCCTGTGCCGCTCCTGCTCCACGTACAGCTACAGCTACACGGGGCCCATCAACCAGCAGGGGAGGGTACAGGCCGCCATGCTCTGCCTCACAGTGCTGCTGTCCGCCTGCATCTGGGTGGTGTGGATCACTATGCTCACCAGAGGAAACCCTGAGGTGGGCCGCCGGCCACTATGGGACGACCCAGTGCTCTGCATCACACTGGTGGCCAACGGCTGGGTGTTACTCCTGGGGCACGGGTTATCCCAGGTCGCCTTCCTCTGCAGGGGGGAGGCCAAGTCCAAGGACATTCCTTTGAGCTTCGCCGGCTGGACCAGCCCCAGCGCTGATATCCCCGAGCTGAACAGTCCGAAGGAGGGAAAAGAAAACGGAAGCTTTGAGACTGATGGCGAGAACAGGAGAGGTGAGACGCCGTCCTCATTCGCCATTAACTGACTGGAGCCTAATTGAAAGATTGTGAATTATACTGAGAGCGAAGCTAGACAGGGGACAAAAAATAATTGTGGCTGCAACCAACAGTTCAATATTAATTATTCTGCCAATTATTTAAACCCCAATCACATATCTGAGCGCCCAAGGTGATTTCTTTCCCTTTTTTTTCCAACCAACAGTAAAAAACCAAAGATATTCAATTTACTATAATAAAGAACTAAAGAATATTTATTTATACTTTAGAACTAGTGATCTTTTCTTTTTGAGTTTTTATTAAGAAAAGCTTAAATGATTAATCAATGCTGGAAAAAGTTGGCGATTAATTTTCGGTTGATCAACTAATTGTTTTCAGAGAGGAACTTTTTAAAGTCAGTCTTATTAACATCTTTAACAGGACTATAACTACCATCGTGAATTACGTCAAGGCGAGAGTATGAAGTATAGCAGCGGGCTCGAGAAGAGTCATGACGCTATCTAGTCTGCTAACGTTAGCTAACGTTAGCTGCCATAAGCCTCTGGTCATACCAGACCAAGTAAGGCCTAATAGCAAAAACCTCTGCGTATAGCGTAATGAACAAACGTGTGTTTTTCTGCTGTGAAGTTCAACTTTTCATCTGCAAAGGGAAACATGTTATTTCATCTTTTAAAACGTTGTGTCCTTTAAGAAAACGAAAAACAGTATCAGTCGGGGCGGCGGTTCCTGCTTCACTGAATGACATTCTTTATATTAAAGTATAGCTGTAAGCCAAAATGAATATGGAGCCTGTATCAAAAAAAGAAAAAGAAAAAAAGAACTCAGCTCTCATCTGGGCCTTTCTGACGAACAGTATATAATGAACCGATAATTAGTGAAGTGTATCATGTGTCTCCCTTCAGGCAGGAGAGCCGATCCGGCGCTGCGGTCACCCTACGAGTCTGGATTCTCCATGACAGTGAGTAATAAACCATTAGGATTAACAATCTGATTCCACATACTCCGCAATTAAACACGGTGACCTTTTTACTACTGGAGGCAATTATAGCTAAGTTATTGTGTAAGGTTAATGAAAGCACAGTTTATCGCGGGTACTAATTGCAGTGACGTGATGAATGTGTGATTATACGTGTGTCTGTGAATGTTTCAGGAAATCGACCCCGACAAAGATTACACCATTCCTCGCCCTCAGACCACCAACTACAGGGAACCTTACGATGAATATTATGGACAAGATTAAAGTCACATCCCTTCTCTGTCAGATGAAACTGATACCAAAGCCAAAGCTGAGGATGACCTCAGCTCCTGCACTAATCTGTACTCCAAGTACTTGGCACAAAAATATTGTTTTTCTGCGTTTCATTTCCTTCTGCAAATGTAAATATTTCTGCGTAGTGTTATAAGAAATGTTATTGCAAATCTGTCAGTAGGATGTAAAATCCTCGGTCGACTCAGCACTATGACTCATCTGCTGGAGTTTCATCATCGAGGCCGGATGGGTCCAGACAGTCCAGCTTTCTACTGGCGGGAAATCCACATCATAAATACTTAGCGGAAGTGAATCTTTATGCCGGTGTGTGTGTGTGTGTGTGTGTGTGTGTGTGTGTGTGTGTGTGTGTGTGTGTTTGTGGTGTGCTAGCCTGAGATGGTATATAATAGCCCTGAGGTGATAGAGGAGGCGTGAAACTGTCACTCTGAAGGTGCCAAACTGCTGAGCAGAGCAGAGCAGAGGCATCTGTGAACGAAAGAGAGGAGGGATGAAAGGAGAAGGAATGAGGAGAGAGAAGGAGAAAAAAAAAAACAGCAGAGGAGATGAGATGAGACAAGACAGGAGGAAGATAGGACAGGAGACCTGTCAGCACTGTGGGAGGCTGGTGCCATCACTGATTAACATCTTCATATTCAGAGTTACATTACAGTTGCTGGATGCTGTGCTGCACCCAAAACAATAGTTGTGTCCTGTGTACATAGAAATATATGAGGAATACAAGGTATGCCTCTTTTCCACAATAACAGATATTTTAATGTCTTTTTTTTTTTTATAGGTTCTTGTAACAAGTGTTGTCAATAAAAGGTTCGTCTGTTAAAACTCGGATTTGTTTTGCAATAGTTTCACACCACCTTTGCTTCTCCCACTCACAATCTGCACAGATGGCATACCCAAGGCCAATTACTCTCGCGACCAGAATCAGTGCCATGCCTCCAGGCACCTGCTGCAAACTGGAGCCTCAACCTCACAGGGGGGGGGGGGCGGGGGTGGGGGGGGGGGGGGGGGGGGCAGAGTGGTAGTAGCAAAGCTAGACCAGCAGGGGGCAATGTCTAGGCACGGCAAGTGAGGCTGACCTGCTGGGAGGAAACTAGTCAGAAGTGTTAAGTGCTAAACTTTTCAAGTAATAAACCACCTGCGATCTAATAGCAAATGTTCTCTTGCCTGCATTTTTCACACAACAGCCTAGAATTAAAGTCCATCTACAGGGTGGATCCAGTTTGGGATGATTTGTTCTGCACTTGTTTTTCTCCCACAGTGGCCTGTAGTGACTCTGCCATCCACAAAAGGTCAATTCCTCACTCCAATAGATGCAATCACACACACACACACACACACACACACACCTCTTATCACACGGCCTTCAATCTATTCTTCCAATTAGCCGAACTTCAATTACTCACAGAGAGCATGCCATCAAATTGGCAATTGGCCTCTTGTGCATTAGAGCAATTAGCAGGGATATGAGGTTTCCCGTCACATCCAACCCATTTACGGCCATTAACTCCAGATGCAATTAAAGATTGTTCCAGATTGTTCCCCCTTGGCAGCGACGAGAAAGTTGGAGGCGGTGGAAAAGCTTATCGCGCGGTAGATTTGGTCCGGAGGAACAAAAGTCAAGAGTTAACGCCGATGCAACCCAGCCGAGCAGGCATTAATCGAGTGCAATTGTTGCCTCCATCAGTCATCTGACTCACACCAGCTAACGCACCGCAGAGAGCGGGAAGTTTCTGGACAGTCAGAAAGGGGATTCTTGTTCAGCCCGTAATCAAAAAAAAAAGAAAGAAAGAAAAAAGTTTGCGACATTCCCCTCAGCTCCTATGGCGTTTAATCAAAAACACTTCTCCTTTATCTCCCTTTGGTAAAGAGGGGGAGAGAGGGATGGAGGGAGGTTGTAGTAGTTAAAACAGCCTCTCTCCTGATTGGATAATCTCATTCCTGCCAAACACTGGAAAGAAAATGATAAGACTCAGTCATGGGAAGGAAATAACATAATGGTTACCAGCTCCACATTCAAGAAACATATCTGTGTGTGTGCTCTATCACCTCCTGATAACCACAAGGAGTCAACAATGTTTAACCTGGGAAAAGAAGTATCCGAAGACCAGGGTAAAAACCAAACAGTTTATTTATTATATACATTCAATAATAATGAAGAGAATAAACAGAAGGCAGACACAAGGATGGCAAAATAAAACATTGTGAGAAAATACATGTCACTTATTGAAAAAAACAAAAAAAACAAAATCACTTGGATAAATGAGCTTTTTAAGAGCATGTGACAAAAAAAAACAAAAAAAAACTCCACATGCAATTCAAACCCATTTATTAAATCCCTGTACAAAAACTCCCACTGGGTTGACTTGAGCACAGTGCAGGGAGTCAGGGGGTCGCTGCGTCGTTCCCGCTCACCTCTGCGTTTATTCTGTGGCCCCCCCCCCCCCCGCCCCCGCGAATAAGATTCACTCCAATTAGAAGAGACGGAAAAAACAAAAAAACAAAAACAAAAACAAAAAACCCAAGCAAAAGCAGCCCACCCACAGGAGTCCCTGCAGCTGCACCACAGTGGCTGCTCGATACTGATTTCACCACCTCGACATTTGCCAACCGGACGAGTGAGGTGGAGATGCTGCTGAAACGAGCGTCTCCGCGGGGCAGGTTCACGGCCGTACTCCCGCCAGATCAGCCTCGTCTCTGCGTAGAAAACATTTGGTTTTCACGGACGAGTTTGGGGAAGAGTTATAGTTTGATTTATGGCCGATGACGTCACTGTCAGAATTTTTTGTAAGATTTACTTTATATATATATATATATATATATAAAGTAGCAACCCACGGGGGTCCAGACGTATCAAATTAAACTTTACACATTTGATATGACTGGTGATTACCACGGCGACCACAGAGGCGCAGAGCAGAGATAACCCAGATTATTGAAGTGGACCGAATCGGCTTCCGTAAAGCGACTGCGGGCCGCTCCCCTCCCCTCCCCTCCCCTCCCAGACACTCATGTAATGGACCTTTACTGAGATTCCTCCGTCACTCCTGTCACCTTGCATTACATAACATCCGAGTTCTTTCTCCCCTCCTGCTATGTAAACACCCCCTCCTCCTCCTCCTCCTCCTCTTCCTCTTCCTCCTCTTCATCCTCCTCCTCCTCCAGCACTATGATTTGAATTCATGCACAAATGAAAAGATTCTCTGACTGACACCTTCCTCTCTCACAAAAGCATGCATAGCAACACTTATGATAATACTTGTAAGGGATAATAAGACAAAAAAAAAAAAAAAGAGGTAATGCACGTCGGAAATACTCATTGGACCTACTGCACACAGTTTTCACAATCATACAAAACAACATTACCCCTCCTCACACTGACCGCTCCACCCTGAGCGCACTGTATCCCCCTGGAAAAAATAAAAACTGAAACAGCGGGGGGGATGTTGTTATCCTGTCAGCTAATGATTAATGGCTCAGCTTCTCACCTTCACCATCAGGGCCACAATGTCCCTCGACTAACCACCTACACATTGTTTCATTGTTAAAAAGGTGGCTGCTGCCGCCGCCGCTGATCCACGGGGCCCTTTTCGACATTGTGTGGACGTTTTCTTCCCCATTTGCTTAAGTCTGTAATTTGGCCCTGCTGGCAAACGCAATTCAAAATATCCTCTAGTGTCTACCTCTGCCTTTCTGCATATCCCTCATGACTCCATCTGCTCCGATTTCCCTTGTCTGCAGCAAACACCTCTGCATCTACAGCGTGTTCATGTGTTAATTAAAAAATAAGACAAAAAAAACAAAAACGAGAGAGAGAGAGAGAGAGAATAAATTAGTGTGTGGAGCGAATCAAATTTCAAATTTCCTAAATTGCTGCAACCTTTTAAACAACATGCGTTCTCTGTCTTTTTTTTTTTTTTTTTTTTGGAGCTTCAATGACATTTCCCTGGGTGCTGTTTCAACACTGTACTTAAAAAAAAATAAAAAATAAAAATAAAAATACAGCTTCAACCCACAGATAAACAAAATAACAAAAAAAAGGCACAAAAAAACAAAAAAAAACAAATCAACCACAAAAATAAGAAATACATCAGGACCAAAAATGTGCTTTCTTCAGTAAAATCTTTGGAACCAAAGAGGCAAATAATAGCAATAACAACAAAGTGAGAGTATATGGAGATGTAATACATAGGACAGAGACAGGTCTATAAATCGTCTGCTTGCCAGTCCTTTAATGAAGCCTTCAGACAGACCGGTAAAGAGAACTTTAAAACTATTTTAGAGCAAACACTCCCAGAGAGCATGATGAAGGATTTAAAATTACAAAATGATGTGGACAACTAGTGAAAACAGTGAATATAAATAGAAAAATTCTCGTTACTTCAAGACTCCATTATATGACTGCAATGTCTCTGTTTCGAAACGGGCTTCGCTGTATATTCTAATCTGGGCTGTTCTGCTGGGATCTGCTGTTCTGCTGAGTTGAGATCAGACACCATTTCCACACACACACACGGAGCAGCTCTGCCTGAAGCCTGTAGGCATAAATATCTCAATTGGCCAGGAGGGATTCCCATTTGGCTGACTGGCAGATGATTAGTTTCCCATGTGGGTGTTCCCGCTTCAGATCAGCTTTTGCTAAATCTAGTTCACTTGTGTCAAGACGGTTCTTTGTCCATCTGACCCGCTCGTTCACCGCGGCGCTGCTACAGCTGGAATGTCTGACGGTCCGGGACGTAGAAAGACATGTAACCGAGTCCTTTCCTTTCCTTTTTTTTTTTGTTTTTTTTTGTTGTTGGAAGAAGTACAAGGTTGAGCCTTGGAGGGGGAAGTGCACTGAATTCTCAAAGTGAACAAATATACAGGGTCGGTTCGCAGCTGAAAGGGGGGCAGAGAGTGATTCAACGTCCTGTCTTAGTGTTACACTTACAGTAATAAATGGAATATGTGTCGACCAGCAGTCAGGACAAATCAATGTCTCTGTCACTGAAAATAATAATGGACAGTTTCAACACGTCCAGATTATATATATATATATATATACATACATATATATATATATATATAATGACATATCTATGCAACTCCTTATCAATGGCAGCAAAAACAGAATCGATGAAAGAAAAACTGAGGTAATGCAGAAAAAACAAAGTCACTTGGTTTTTTTTTTTTTCCTTGTCATTTTCACACTTTTTTTTTTTTTTTTTTTTGTTTTTAAACATTAGTTTTCTTGTGTTTCCTTTTACACTTGGGGGAAGCCGGGAAATGTTGGTAAAATGACAAAAACAATAGTTTCATAGTTTGCCGTTACCGGGACAACAGTGGTTTCTGTCAGTCAGACGCTCCCATGTTCCCTCCAGCTTTACAAAGTAACAAGAATGATTCCTACGTCGTCTGTATTGAGCAGTTTGATTCGTTTTTCTTTTCATTATTATACCACAATGTTAAACCAGAGGGACGTCTCTGCTGTGAGAGGGAAGCCTTTACATCAACGTAGTGTTTAAAAACAGAAAGTACCTTCTTTCTTTTTTTTCCTGTGTGTGTGTGTGTGTAACTCTGTGCTGTGGCAGTTCTATCAATGTGTGCAGGTCAACACTAAAGGAAAATGTAAACTAGAGGAAACCGTATACATGGTGTTGAGTGTTAAGTTTGTGTATATAGATCTGATTAGGTCTTATAGGGCAGTGGATATACTATAAGTTCAGAGACCCTCAGGGGGAAAAAACAAAAGGTTTGTAGTGTTCAGGAACAGCAGTCTCTCTCCTTCCAGGTCCCATAGTGTTTCTAAAAAACATCCTAAATTGTGCCACGTAGATCAAAGTTGTAGGCTCCAGCTTTTTATGTGGGAGACGCTCCTGGTAGTTTGTTTTTTTTTTTTTTTTTTTTTTTTTTTTTTTTTTTTTGTTTTCCATTGTTTCCATGTCAGCAACAGACAGAGGAGCACAGAAACAGAGTTTGAGTTGATGATGTGGCAATGACCTCTCTCGCCACAAAAAAACAAAACAAAAACACAAAAAAAAAAAAACAAAAAAACACATGAGTTGTCACTATAGTCCGTCTGCAGAAAACTGGGGAGGAGCTCCTGCCGAACAAAGAGCCTGAAAATGTGTTTTTGGAGCGATGTTGAATTCCTTGGGTGTGATTTGTGGTTTTAGTAAGGAGCAAACCTACTGTATCCTGCCCGATATAAACTGGCCTGCAAGAGACAGAGAGAGCAACACAGTCAGAGAGAGGAAAAAGTGAGGTTATAACTTTATACTGCTGCTAGTCTATCTTATACTGCACATGATATGTTTATCGACCTGTTCAGACCTGGTTTTAACATCCGCCTCAGGTGATCCGATCACCAGTGGGGACGGCTCTCTAACTACAGGTGCGAACACACCAGAGAGACGCGTTTGAGGTCCGATCACTCGGACCACAGCCGGAGGTGGTCTGGGCCACATGTGGTCCACATTCTTTTGGCAGTGTGAACGCAAATGTGTCCTGGGGCCACAACGAGGGAGCGCCTACCTCCGCTGACGTCCTCTGCCTCCGCCACAGTCTGACGAGTCCCATCACAGTTTTTTTTTTTTTTTTTTTTTAACCATGAACCGAAAAAATATCTTTATAATTTCAAATGGATAAAACCTGATTTCGCTGTAGAGCTGTGAGCAGGGCGACGATTCCCTCGACCCCTCCGCGCCCCGCTCTCACACTAGCACACTGACAACTGTCAGATTGGCTAAAAACAACAACAACAACAACAACAACACATACCTGTTTATTTGCATATAAAGCAGGAAGTGAGATCCGACCACAAGTGGCCACTGGAGACGCATTTCAAAGCAGGTGTGAAGTGTCGTACTTAGAGCTGACCACTTGTGATCGCATCACTGAAGACGCATGTTAATTCAGGTCTGAACAGGGTCAAAGAAGTGCTCAACATGGGGAGACCCTGTGACCCCCCCCCCCGCCCCCCCCCCTTTAAAAAGTACAGTTAACCGCTGTAGTTGTTCTGTAGAGCTTGTGTCAGTGTTCTCACCATGGCTCCCACTCCGTACGCAGCAGCAGCTGGGGCTAAAGCGTGGTATGGATCTGTAGTGTACACGCGGCCATAACTAGCAACATAAAGCACAAACACAAAACACAAGAAATAATTAATTTGAGTTAAATAAAACAAAAAAAACAACAACAACAAAAAAAAAAACCACAAATTAAAATGGCACCATGTTGATTTTGTGATTAGTATTCGTGCTATTATGCAAAGAAACGCAGCAATCCGCCCAATACAGGCAGGGAAGAAGGAGACTGCCAGCATGTAAACAAAATCAGGTTTGCAAATATCTTAATGGGGAAGGAAATGCACTCAACATGTTTGTTAGACCTCAGGGATACACACAGAGAATGTCAACACTAAGCTGGTTACATGTGTAAGCACATCTTTCTCTCTCTCTCCATTCCTGCCCTGAAACGGCTTCCCGAGGGTGCAACACTTGCTCGGTATTTCAGGGAGTGTTTCAGTCATCTGCCACAGTGAGGGCCGGGGGGGGGGGCTAATAAAGTTCAGAAGGACTTTCTGTTTCCATTAGGACGAAAATGATTTGTTTTTGTTGTTAGCCAAAAAAGAAAAAAAAGGGATCTAGCTGTTTTTGTGCTGCTCAGGTGAGTTGAAAGGTCGTGGGCTGCGGGCAGACGTCTGCGAACGCAAGTTGTTTTCACACGGTGACGGTAACTCCAGTGTTCGCACAACGCACTTTGGTGGATAACACTTGCGATAAATAGAGACTTTGTTTGTTTACAGGAAAACTCAAGAGGATCCCTCACGAGCCAAGTTTGCACTTTGTTGTCGTCCTGTAATAAATTCTTATTAGTTTGTTTTCTATAATGAAACTGGCACAAACTGCGCACACACTGTTTCTCCTGCTCTAAAAGGAAACATTTAAAGAAGATTTAAATTAAAAGTTAAGTTAATTATCATGTTTCCATTCAGGTAGATTTTCCTCTGTATCTCATCTTCTCCTATGATACAAGATGATATTTCCATGTTTCAAGCTTTGCTGGCTTTTACTATTAACTAACCCATTTGTATCCATCCATTACTGCCGTGCTACTGAGCTTAAATGTCCTCGTACGCCCTCAAATTCTATTACCAGTAAAAAAAAAAGAAAGAAAAAAGAACCGCGGCTCACTGTAATGTATTCATCCTGCGGCCTTGGATTCCTCTTTAGATTATCCTCAGAGCTGAGTCCTCTCCCTCAGATCTGTACTCCAACTGATTTCTGACACTACAGATCAGCTGTGCAGTCTGCACCTCAGCAGTTTTGTTGAGTTTTGTTTTGTGTGTGTGTGTGTGTGTGTGTATGTGTGTGTGTGTGTGTGTGTGTTGATGTGTGTCCTGGGTTGGCCTCACCTGTCACTGTAGGCGGCGGCAGCGGCGGTTGCTCCGGTTACGGCTGCAGGCTGGGCGTAGCGATAGGCAGCGGCGGCGGCGGCAGCAGCAGGGTAACCTCCCTAGAGAAACACACACACAACAGAGCTCAGTCACATGTCTCTGAGGAACAAGACACCTGGGCTAAGGTGTGTAAATGATATAGAGATGCAATATACTGACATATACTTGTGTGTTTACATAACCAACCAATCTATTTAAATCAATTTTAACCAATTTAAATCGTCATTTCTCAATAAATACTATAGAATTACACCATGATTACTGTATATTTTGAATATATATTTCCAAAATACCATGTTTAATTATGGACATGTTTTAGAAATACTTTTTCTTGCATTCAGCAAAAGTAACTTTCCTATCATTTACAAATAATTTCAATCCAGTATGTGTCAGTATATTTATTGCATTTCTGTGTGGGGAAAGGAGGAGGTGGTGTGGTGTTGATGTGGGACAAGAAGTGCTTTATCAGTGAGACAGAGAGAGGAAATTGGACTGCCGAGGTCGAGTTAGATCGTATTATTATCACTACAGGAGAGAGGGGAGGCAAAAAAAAAAAAAAAGAAAGAACCAAAACAAAAAAAAAAAACGTGGAAGACAAAATGCTCACACAGTCGAGGCCGTATAGAAACTTCATTGTCTTGTCAGGACAGAAGATTCGAGTAATGAACAGATATGTCAAGAGAACACCTACAGTCTGAGGACACACTAAGGGATGCTACAGTCTGACATATTTATGGTAAAAAAAAACAAAAACAAATAAAAAACAGCATTTGTTATTGTTATTATTTATGTTCTTACACATGGATTCAGGAGAAAGAAAACAGAGGAAGATGGAAAATAAAGTCACACACACAAACACACCCACACAAGCCTGTACTGACACTAAAAAAAAAATCATCTCCTTGCACTGCGACTGCATGCACGACCCAAATTACAATTCAAACCTACTCAAAACAAACAAACAAACAAACAAAACAAACAAAAAAAAAACCAAACACAACACCACTGCATTTGGACCTGGTCAGAACAGAGCACAGCAAAGCATAACAGAAACACCCCGGCGTTCTCCGAGACGCCTGCAGAGACATGGAGCAGAGAGCGGACGGGTGGGATAGAAAAAAACGGGTTTATTAGGTGGGAGAGAGAGAGAGAGAGAGAGAGAGAGAGAGAGAGAGAGAGAGCAAGGCTTTCTGGGTGAGTGGAGGGAAAGGAGGATGTGGAACAGTAATACAGTATGTCTGCATGCAGCAGCTGATCAGCACATGCTTCAGTAATCATCATCCTGGGGGAGGGGTCGGGGGTGGTTAATTCAGGAAGAGACCATGTTCTCCGTTTCAACTTTTCTTTTAGATTTTAGAGCATCTCGCGCCGCCGGCTGACGCAGCCTGGACCTTTGCTGCGAAATACTAGCCTCCAATTTTATAAAGGAAAAATGCAAAAAATAAAAAACTTCACTTTACAATTTTGTTTTGTTTTTTTTTTCTTTTACATTTGTTTTCTTTTGTTTTTTTTTTATAGTTGTGAAATGTAGGTGTGTTGTTATTATCGCCAAAATAAGGATGGGTGTCTCATTTCTCCAAAACTAAGAGACAAAAGAGACCAGGCTCTCTTTTGAACAAACTGGAAGGAAAAATATACACTCGGTACAATTTAGTAGTTTAGTAAACAAACAAACAAACAAACAAACAAAGCCCCCCCTCCCCCCCACAATCAGAAAAAAGTGCATATTCCAGTGAGTTAGTAGAAAAAACAAAGTAAAGTTCAAAAGTAGTGGTAATTTTTTCATAAGAACTAAAAGACAACATGTTCCAGATCAGATCAGAAGATGATTCATAAGATCAGAGGAAGTAGTACAGTAAAACAATGCACACTGTGGGTTTGGTGTTGAGTTGACCCTACCTGAGGCAATCTGGGACTAAGGACTGAGTCCTGAAACACTAGTCTATAGAGAGAACAGAAACAACCGTTGTCAACCTGGATACACACACACACACACGCACACACACACACACACACGCACACACACTCTTGTTCATATATTCGCACAGTCGTACACTGATGCACGCTGCCGCGTCCGCCCACAGAGCAGCCTTTGTAGTGGTGTTTGAGACCCTCGATCATTAAGATTTCACAGCTCGGCTTTTTTTATTTTATTTATTTTTTTTATTTCCATTTTTAAAACAACACTCTGTTTTGACCCGAGCTGCGTTCAAACTGCATAACAGATATTTCTGTCACAACAAACAGTATCAAAAAAAAACAAAACAAAAAAAAACACAAAACACAAAACAAAAACAACACCTTGTGTCATTAAAGGAGCTTGTCTTAATTTGTGGTGTGTTGTGCTTGTAAACTGTTTTTCATTGTGGGCTCATTCACCTTTATGCAGGCAGCTCTGTGCAGGGCATGACCGAACGCACATGCACAATCACCCCCAGAAGGAAAGAAGAGCAGGAGAAAGGTGTGAGGGGAGGGACAGAGAGGGTGTGTCGGTGGGAGGTGAGTTTACTTACATATAAGTCCGCCGCTCCGTAAAACCCATCCTGATACACCACACTGAGAGAAGAAGAAAATGGGAGAGAGATGGGGGAGGGGGGGCAGAGTAGGGGGGGAAAGGGGGATGGAAGGGTGCAAATGGGGTGGTGCACAGTCCCAAAAAACCAGAGTGGATGAAGGTCACAAGACAGCAAAACAAAAGAGGGAACAGGAAGAGAGAGAGAGAGAGAGAGAGAGAGAGAGAAAGAAAAGTAGTTATTTCACACCCATGCAGCATGCAGAGGAAATACAATTTCCATTTCAGCTCCACAACTGCAACCAAACACATATAACACCAGACTCTTGAGGCCAATAGATGGTTCATTGTACTGAAAATACCACCATTAACTGCTACTGTTCCCCAGCTAGGAGAAAATGAAGGCGGCGAAGGATTGTTTAATGAGGCCAGCATGTCTGTCTGAGAGGTGGCGTTATCAGTGGAGCAAGATATGGAGAGGGTATTTCCTGCAGCCCCCCCCACCCCCCCAATTTCACCTCGTTTAGCTCGATTTGAATGTTCATCAGTTAAGCAACCACAAGGCCATTAACCAATCAATTCTGCTTTGATCTAAATATCGTAGCAGTCATAACCCCATTAGCCAATCATCACAGCACAGCAACGACATGCACAGTACATAAAAACACATCACAGTAAATGTGAATAATTTGGAGCAAATCTGTGAGCAGGGTGACTGCCTCTGCATAATGACTGAATGTGGTTTGTGTGTGTTTATGCAAATCCGCTGATGGCGGTATCTGGGAGTTTATTCAAATGAACCTTCGATGGTGCAATCCTATCAGCGTGTCATACTCTGCTGAATAGCTTGTGAACCGACTGACAATGTGTGCCAGTTGGACTGCTGGAGAGAGTGAAGTGTCAATGATGTTTGAGCATGAGAAGTGTATGAGCACAGCTGTGTTAAACAGAGACCTGGTCAAATAGATTCTGAAAAATGGCTTTAATGAGGTGATCCTCAATAGATTTACCAGGCACTAAACAAAACTACCGGCTTTAACCGTTTTATTTCAACTATTTTCTATAAAAAAAACATACAGATCTGTGACACCTACGATGTACGTGAAGTCAACAGCTGTTGTATAACTCTTACCCGGGGTAGGCAGGGATGGCAGGCTGAGGCACAGCAGCCCGCACAGCGCTGTAGACGGGCCGGCCCCGGCCCCTGAGGTGGGCACCGCGAAACGCTGCTGCTGCTGTTGTGGCTGCTGCTGCTGCTGAAGGGTAAGGAAACCCTGGGACTGGAAGAGGAAGAGGAAGAGGAGGAGGAGGAGGAGGAGGAGGAGGAGGAGGAGGAGGTGGAGAATAGGAAAGGAAGGTGGAGTGAGGGCAAAGGATTTAGAAAAGAAGGTAGAGGACAATGTGAAGAGAAAAACTGGGGGAAGACCCAGAGAATAATCCAACTATAGCCTCGACTCCTCACTCGCAGCGCATTCATATAAATGAAAAAGACTGGAATGTGTTTAAAATTTTAAATAGGCTGCAGAGACAGATCTTAGTGTGTGTGAAGGAGATGGAGACCGGCCTCACCTGCATAGAGCTCTGGTCCGTACACAGCCCCCACCATGGGACTCAATTTCCACCCCGCTGGCAGTCATATAGAGAGAGGGGACGGGGCAAAGGATGAGTAAGGGGCAGTTTACACGTCATTCAGTTATTCACCTTTATTCTTCCATTCATGGTTCGCCAGCTACTTAAAGACCAGTTTTATTAATTAATACCTGATGAGATTTTCACACACCGCTGAGGAGTGTTTGTTAAAAACTGATTGTAACTGTTTCCCTGTGAAACTCAAACCCAGACTGGAGGATGTAATGGAAGAGCACATGAAACAAACAGGAAACGCTGCTGAGCTCTTTCCATGTTCGTCATCATCACCCGCTGCACCAGCACCACAAGGTGAATCAGCCTGGAAGCAACACAGACACTGGAATCAGGTCTGGCTGCACTCGGTGGTGGGGGAGGGGGAGGGGGGGGTTAGACTGATAAATGAGCATGGCCGTAAGCAGGGACGCTAGATGACCAGGACAGATACAGTAGGTCAACAAATGGTCTGGTCTAATTGCTGGCTACAGGATACAACACAAACTCTTCACTAAAAATATATCTGAAAATATTTCCCCACACACCACAGCTGCAGCAGCTGCAGCAGCAGCAGCTGTGGGAGTTTTTTTTTTTTTTTTTCCCCCCCTGAACTAACAATTTTTTTTTTTCAGCTGATTCTTAAAGCCACTCTGCCTCTTATTCACATCTATTTTCCCTTTTATTAAATTAATGTCACTTTGTTACACGATCATTTAATAGACAGTGATTACTGTGAGAACACGTTCCTGCTTCTTCTTTTTTTTTTTAATCCCTGCACGCTGTGGAGTCGATCTGTGAGATATATTTTAAAGTCAACTCACATCACAGCTGGTAGGTGGTGGCAAAAATACTAAAACTAAAATAGCCTGCATGAATTTGGTTTGCTGATGGTCTTGCAGAATGCGGTCTGCAGCAGAGCCTGCAGGGAGCGAACACTGTGGCTATGTTGTGTAATTTACCCATGCCTACGTCTGCCTCCCCCCTGTGTACCTATGCTGCTCGGATTATTAGGCGGGCCGCGGCTCATTGTTAGTGCGTGTCCGTGTGGTCGTTACCATAAGGCAGCGTGCTGAGCGCCTCTCCGTTAGGGTAAGGGCTGACCATTTTCTTGTTAGTCATCACCCTGGCCGTGGCGTTATTGACCTGAGGACGGAGGAGCAAACGGTCAAAGAGACAGACAACAACAACTCAACAGAGGAAACTAAAGCAACACAGACTCAAACAAAGATTACTAGCTCGCAAGGCCAAGGCTGATACATGTTTATTTCTTACAGTAGAACTACATTCAACATGCCTGCTGCTATGTGCTGCTATTATACTTTCCTCTATGTTTTGCACATATTTATATTTAATTCTATTTTCCCAGTTCTTTTATTCTTACTGGTTCATTAACGAATCGCTGGTGTCATCTGAAGTTACGGCACATTTACTTGTATCAATGTCTGGTTTACATTTGCTCCAATCATTTTGCCGTGTAATTAGTCTGTAACATAACTTTTGTTTTTTTTTTTATTGTTAAATTGCACACTGGCTTAAAGTTAGCTGCTGGCCCACCAAACAACACGGATGTGACGACATGTTCTTGGATTATTTTCTGCACTTTCTGCTGGCGCTGTCTTTAAAATACTGCACAATGAAACTAAGTCTGCAGAAGAGTCATAACCAAGATGACTGTCTGAAATGTAAAGGTCACTGTTGTTATACTGAACCCTGGTGATCAGTGCGGAAGAATTTTACCCCTGACAATGGTGTGTGTGTGTGTGTGTGTGTGTGTGTGTGTGTGTGTGTGTGCGTGTGTTGGTGTGATTGTCCATGTTTGCGTGTAGAAGTGGGTGGGCGGCTGTTAAGGGGATTTTTAGTCATCATGCAATTAAAAGTGAGTTGCCCAGTAGAGAATTGGTGATTCACTGTGTAGGGATATGAGGGCTGCCATGGGCGACATTGGAAATGTCGCTGCTGTGACTACACATTTCTTTTGGCATGCACAGGTGAAAGTATTGTGGATGTGCATGTACCATGCACGATGGCTGACAGTTCACACTAATGCTCAGGCCTTTCAATCCAAGATGGCTGCTAATCTCCTCTCTGAGCTTCAAAGGCTCACACTCTGCTCCCTTGATCTATCCTCATCTTCCTTTGATGGGCTTTAAAAGAAGGAGATTGTAGCTCTCTGTAATAACCCACACTGCCTGAGTGTGCTGTTGAAGCTCCACATCTGACTGTGTGACAAGCTAAAGATTAATGACCTTTTGGCTGGATGAGGGGAGAGTGTGTGTGCGTGCATGTGTGTGTGTGTGTGTGTGTGACAAAGAATGAGAGAGAGAAAGACTGAGGAATGAGAGCGCTTGTGTGTACATCCCCGCAGCACTCCCATTTAGAAGACCATTAAGGCCGAGGCTGCAACTCACATTGCTTCTCTCAGTGAGTCATGTTCTTTATCTGCCGAGCTACATTCAAATGGAAATGAGGTTTACCTCATTTTTCCCTCATAGCAAATGACAAGGTCAGTGGCAAACAATTCAATTAGCCTAGCCTGGCTAGCTATCTGACGCAACTGTTCGCGGGTGTCTGAGCGGAGATGTTATGAAACCGAGTCAATGAATCAAATTAATGTTCACTTTTTCTTTTCTTTTTTTGTATCATAGTGACAAATTGTCCCGACTTGTGAGAAGTTTTATGTAGATGAGTGACACTTCCTGATAGCAAAGAGTTAGCCTATATCAATGGTGGGCAATCAGCTGTGTTTGTGCAGTTCGTGTACCTGTGTTTGCGTAATGTGCAATTAATGAAATTGGGTAAACGGTTGACAGGAATACATGCAAATCAACAGAGACCAATATGGAAGGCAAATCTCAAAGTGTTAATGATTAATAAAACATTCAGCCTTTCTCATCCCACTTTTGCCCTCCCAGTCCAGCCTGAACAATAAACCTGGACAAAATGAAGTCACATTTCCATATGAAACCAAACTTGTGGGGTTTACATACCTAAAAAGAAATATTTAAAATAAATACAAGGGAGAGGGAGAGAAAGAGGGGGTGCAAAAACATTTGTTTGACAAAATTAATAATCATATAACACAGAAATTACACGCAGCCAAATATGGGCGCATCACATGACCAAGAGTGAGTAACAAACCAAAAAAAGTAAAAAATTCAGCCAATCAGCAAGCGTTGGATGCAGCATAGAGACCAATCAAAAACAATCGCAGCACTCCCACATCGAACACATACGAGACAAAGATGGGACAGGTAAGTTAAGAGGAAGGGATGCAGGTGAGAAGTAAAGAGACAGAGCCAGTCCATGTACAAAAAAAACAGGAGAACGTAAAGATGGAGTGAAGAGAAAGAGAAAAAAAGGGAGAAAGTTTACATGAGCAACACAAAAAACTAATAACAATTACTGTTTAAAACACAACATATATACCAAGGTGCATCATTCAAATAAAGCAATTAGATTTGGTGACCATTCTCCTGAAAATCTCATTATATGTGGTGGGTTGAGAAACAGAGCACCAAAGGATGGAGGGAACAGAGAGAGAGAGAGAGATAGAGATAGAGAGAAGGAGAGAGAGGGTGAGAGAGAGAGGGAGAGTGTGTGAGAGAGAGAGAGAGAGAGAGAGCAATCCTCATTCCCAAAAAAGGAGAGAAATAAAATAAACATGAGACACTATGCCAGGCATTAGAACCGTGTGTCACAAACTAGGACCAGTACACTACGACTACGACTACTACTACGACTACTAATACACAGACAGTCCACTACAAGAAAAAACCAAACCAAAAGAGAAAAACAAAATGGCAGCATAATAGAGACCCAAAAAACACAGCGAGGTAAACCCCATATCGGTTTAGAGATGCATATGGTGACAACAACGCTGGGGCTGAGTCCCAAATCGCTCCCTCATTCACTCCTCCCCCATATAACAGGCGCTGCACCGTTTTCTCCGCAGTGAGCAGTAAATCAAGATTTTAAATCATGATCATGTTTTGCGTCATCACTGTCATGTATAAAATGCAGCGCACTGCATTGTGGGATTGTTAGCAGACAGTAGTGCGACATCATGAATTTTAAATTTCTAAAACATGAATTTTTGAGGCAAAAAAAGTAAGTGAACCCTTCGGAAATATTTTCTTTTATGTATAAATTTACCTTCAAACTCGGTCAGAGCTTCATCCAAGTTACAATTATGAACAAACACTTTATTTTAACTAATAACACACTAATTGGGTTGTTCTCGTCCCTATTGAAAACAATTAAAATATTCACAGCGCAGGCTCAGAAAAGTAAGTGAACCCCTCGGCTAACAACACGAACGAGCGCTACCTGGAGTCAAACCTGGAGTCCAGTGAATGAAACAAGGTTGAGAGCACTCAAACATTTTGAGTTTTGCTGTCCACAAGAAAAACAGATCTCACAAGACTTACGATGAAGAATTGTCGATTTGCATAAAGCTGGAGGGGTTACCGGAGTCATCTCACAGAGTTTAGTTATTCGTCGGTGCACAGTCAGAATAAACTGTCTATAAATGGAACGATTAAGTTCTGTGGCTGCTCTCCCCAGAAGTGGGCGTCCGGCTGAGACGACTCCGAAGGCACAACAGTGTTTTGTGGAATGATATAACTAAAGTTGAATTGTTTGGGAAGAACATGCAGCTCTATGTATGGCGTAAAAGGGAAGTGCATAGCAACATGAAAACATCAGGCCAAAGGTGAAGCAGGGAGGAGGGAGCGTCGTGATCTGGGGCTGAGATTTGCTGCCTGTGGGCCTGGACAGCTCCCACATCATCGAAGGGGAAAATGAATACCAAGGTCTCTTCCAGGATGAAGTCAGGGTGACTGCACCACCTGCTGAAGCTCAGGAGAAGCTAGGCGATGCAGCAGGATAAGGACCCTAAACATCACAAGTAAAACGATTTCAAACAAAGCAAATCCTCCTGTTGGAGCGGTAACACCCAGTAGAGATGCTGCGCAATTAACTCACAGAGCCGCTCACCCCAGACAGCCGAAGAATGAACACGGAGCAGCTCTGATCAGCAGCTACTGGACGAGCTTGTTTGAGGTTACTGAGGTTCGAGCAGTTATTAAACCCACGGGTTCACTTACTTTTTTCCCCCCACCAGCACTGTGAATGTTTAACTCGTTCAATGAAGACACAAAAGATAATAATTGTTTGTGTGATATTAGCTGAGGCACATTGTGTTTGTCTGTACTTGAGCCTTAGATGAAGATCAGATCACATTTTACAACCAAATAATGCTGAAAACCAGGTCACTCCAAAGGGTTCACACACTTTTTGCCGCTGTAGTGGACACACGTTCACACACTCAGAATTCGGACACTCGAATAAAATGGCGGAGGGTAAATGTTGCTCACTATATAATAAATGGGGAGTGAACTGGGACACAGCCTGGCTGATTTGGTAAGTTGCACCAGCCAGTTGCACCAGCTGTTCGTAAGTTCAAATTTAGCCTAATTAAAACCTAAGTGTCTACTAATTACTAAATCAAACCAAACTATTTCTTACCCAGATATTAGTGGCTGCTAAATATTTACACGCACTGAAACACACATATTTCTCCATCTACACAGGCATGAATAAAAACAAAGTAACATCTTTACAAAAGATATAGTTTTTTGTAATTCAAAAACTTTTGGAGGATATGGTGGCTCGTGGTGCTACAGTGACTTCCTGTTTACACAGCTGATTGAACAGCAACCAATTTACTACATAAAGTCTTTACAAGCCAAGACAGTTCTTAAGTTTCAACCCAATTTAGTAAATGACTAGTTTGAAAGTAGCTGATACTTACTAAGAACATTATGTTCTAACCTAGTAATAGATTTATGAATAGCTGGTGCAACCCAATCCAGACAGCATGGTTTCTCAACACATTTTATTTCTTATATGAATTAACAAAAGATCCCCAACGAACAGATTCGTTTTTAATGGCAGGACACAGTGTGCTGGTCTATTATGTACATTTGGAAGGTCTTTGTCTCGGCAGTAAAGACAGGCAGGGGTGTTACGCACGCATTTTTCAACTGCACATTGTGTCCACTTGGATAACATTTGACAAAGTACGCTGTGCTAAAAAGCAGGCAGGTCAGTGAAATAAAGGAATTCAAAACCAGAGCAGCGTT